CCCCTACTCCTACCTACCTACCGAGTACACTCACACTCGGTGCTCACATAACATAACAAAACAAAAAAAGAAACGGTCTCGACTTCTCGACTTCTCGACTTCTCCATACACTCCCATCCACTCCATCCACTCCATCCATACAATACAATAATCAGGAGAAACCCCGACGATCAAATCCATCCACAATCCACAATCCACAGTTCCAACCCACAATAACCCACACAAGTTAATCCACCCCCACCAGTTTCATACTCGGTCATCATCAATTAGGTAACCTACCTAGTACTCCGTATGTACTACATATAATTTTTGAACAACAACAACAACGGCACTGCATACATGGTTACATCGTTCTAGACAGTTGTTCCAGACAGTTTAATGAAAGCCGTAACCTTAGAGTATAAAAATATGTATTCTCTCTTTTGGATCCAATTTATACAATTTATACACTAACCTTAATTCAATCCCATTCCAATAATCAACTACCACTTCTCAAAACCAAGTACACAAATACACCCCCGTCTGATCAACCGTTCTTCCGTGAATAGTACGCTTTATCACTCACTCACACACACACACATATTAATCAACACATCTCCATCTCCATCTCCATTCCCATGTCCCCCCTACCCCCCTACCACACAATCAACGAATTTCAATCTCGATCCTCGTAACCCCCCTAGCCTCCACCACCCTCGCCATATCCCCACTAACTGCCGCCCTCTCCCACCACCTCCTATACCCCACGGCCGATCGTGGCCAACGGGACATTAAATACTGATACTGTTGATCCTGAACCGGTTGACCTTCCTCATATACTCTTTCCGGTCTCGACCACGTCGCTGGCATATCGACGCCCGGTCCATATACATCTTCCATAACCACATCACCATCCGAGTCATAATTTACACTTTGGTAACTCCAGCCTGAGCCTCTTCGTGCTGTGATAATTGTTGATATATCTGGCGACATGGTTCCATCAAATGATTGTTGTTCTATTGTAGAGCGGTGTTGAAGAATCTCAGAGGTGAGAAATGTACCGTTCAACTCAATGTCACCCTCGTAATCATTTTCGCGGATTGTACCATCTCTCAATACACTTAATCTTGCCAAATCTCTGTGTTTTCCATCTTCTAAATGCCAAATCTTAGCAATCCCATCCGTGCTAAATGCCCAAATGGTGATACCATTACTTGAATCGATCGCAAGGTCAACTATATTAGAACATGTCCCTATTCTTTGACCCTTGATCCTAACTGGCCACATACTTCCTGGAAGAATACCCGGTACCGGATGCCGAATGAGATCCAGCCATGCTTGAAGTCCCTCATCGGGCCACCAGTCCAGCCATTGCATATTTTTAGAATTCTTGGAAATGCTTCGTTTGTGTACAACAGAACTTTCTAGTAGGCTTGGAAAGCTCTGAGCTGCATGAAATACGTCTCCGGGAACGGAGAACATCCAGATACTCTGTTCTGTACAACTTTCCAAATGCTGCCACAACTCTCACTCCCCACCTTAAGTCAGCACCTCCAGCATAGACCGTTGGACTACCTCTACCTTCTGGTTCCCTGAAACCAAACTTTACGAAGTAATTTGGTAGGTCCTCCGACAGGTGCATCACTGCCCAAGCAAAGAGCTCCAGTACTTGGATCAGTAAATAGGATATGATAACCATCACTAAGTGGTACCGCACGATAATGATCAGAATGGTCGACCCTTCTGCCGGAATCACTTCGAAACCTTCCCACTGGTGCCAGTATCTGCTGAGCATGTTCCATTTCCTCACTATTGTCCCCCTGGCTTCCATTCCAGCCGATTCTTTGCCAAAATGAAGCACCTCGTGGTCTTCTTCCATATGCTCTCTCATGTACAGCTGCACATTCGCTTGGGCTAGCCGCACCTACAGATTGGTTAGTAAATCTGGCCAAAGATATTTGGCGAGTGCAAGTCTAGGTCCAGGTTTTATTTGAAATTTTACCCTTTCCCTTGCCATGGTGGTTTTGAAAGTGATAGTTACTTACTACTAATGAGCCTCAACTTTTTCGCTGAATCTATACTTTTCCGCGGAGGTAAGAAGAACAAAAAATCGCTAGGAGCAGTGAGTGGAAACCATCTATTCAGATCTTGCCCAGTCAAAGCATCAACCCAATGCAACTCGATACCGGCCGAGCAGCCAAACGCTACACATCGTCGTTGAGGACAGATAGCCACTGAGCGAGGAGGATCATCTTCAGAGCAGAGGTTTCTATATATCGAACGCGTACCTGTTTCAACGGGCATTTCTCTGGTATTAAGGTTTGATTTTTTACGAGCTGGTAATCTGCTCCGCATTCGACTACCTGCTCCAACGGAGTGTGGACCGGTTTCTTCAGGAGGATAAGAATTCTTTACAGCACTGGCTGATCTGGACGCTTCATTATAATCTGGACGTTGCGCCACCCCTGGAGAACTACCACCACTACGAGTTGTAGCTATGCCAGGGAAAACAAAAGCAGTTGTAGATCTTCCAGCCCTTTGAACCGGAGCTGAACTGTCTAAACTAACACGGTCGAGAAACGATACACCATGATTAGTATCATTTCTAGGAGATAGTGAGAGGTCTGAGCGACTCGAATCCTGCGAAGAAAGGTCCGCAGTCCCAGGTTCCGAAGAAGTGGGTGGAGCTATATTGCTAAGAGAAATATCGCACACAAGACCCATACGCCCATCGAGGAGAGCAGCTATTGCATACCTATGTGATGAAGTATCCATGCTGCAAGCTAACACTCTGTGTGGACATATGATGCTGGTGACTGGACGCAAAGAACCAGGTTGAACTTCATACCAATCATCCACATCATGATGGCTTCTGTTTAGTTCATAAACATAGATTAAACAACCATTCGCAGCCATCAAGAACTTTCCACAGCTACTCACCGTGAAAATAGTTCCAGCAGGAGTCGTATCTTTGTATTGGACAGCGACTTCTGTGAAATCCACCATTGAAGCTGATGAAAATGACGACTGTTTCGATTCTAGTGGAAACCTGTCCGGACTCACTGGTACCCCGCGCCCCGTCCAATTTGGCCCAAGAGCACACTCTCTCGAGATACGCTTACTCATGAACCAATCATACTCCGGACTACGTTTAAATGCCGCGCATTTTGTCTCAGAGATTTCCTGTTGACAGCTAGATTCCCAACCTCCACGGCGGATCATATTTTCAAGAAGGGAACGTTCTATACTAGTAAAAAACCATGTTCGACATGTATGTCTCGCCGAATTGAAATCAGCCGGAGTAAGATAATCATATATTTGTTGAATGATTTCCGTTGGTAGTTTTGAGAAAGTGAATGATGTCGACTGACGAGCAGATTCTTCTAGTCGATCAACACTAGGTAGTCGACAAGAAGATGATTCGACTGGTAAGGTTGGGTCTGGGAAAACAGGAGTGGAATCGTTGTAAACGGTTGTGACTGTTCGAGTGAGTGATTCAATAGGAGATATAGTTGATCCCAGAGAGCTTCCCCCTGAAGTTCTAGATCGAAGTCGTCCCTTTAATTCTTTCGCGTCGAGGGAGCCGTTCAAACTTGCTGGAGATGCATGTCCACTAAGCACTTCCGAGAAACTATCTTGTTGTGCTATACCTATTAAGGGTTCCAATACCTGGTCATCAAAAATTGCGCAAGGATCATTTGGGTTTTCATGAAGAGTCTGGCTTCGATCGCGTGTTCTTATTGAGCGACCATCCACTTCAATGGTTGTTTTGTTCCTTTGAGGTCGTGATTCAGCCTTTGCGAGAGGATTCGAATATCTTGGGCTTCGCTCTAATGTTCTCCCACGTTCAACCTCTTTTCCTTTATCACGGCTTCCTTCTTCATCTGGGACTGGTTCAAGTTGAGGGAGTTTCCACGGATTGGCTAGGAAAGGTGGATCGAGAGCCGTATCATCAATTGGAGTGACCTAAAAATTCCAAAGTTAGTTCACAAATCTCAGAACTTTGCTGGGGTCCAAAGAATAGGCAGCTATGATAAACGAGCACAGTTGTTCAAGGAAGGTAAACTTACTAGATCCGATGCTGCATGTAGGTTATGGCACCTAGAGGCATCACCGACTGCTGGGACTGATGTGTATTGGCTGCTCACGAAGCCTAAAAACATAAAAATGTCAAGATATTAGAACACTTATGGTAAGTCGGAAACCATCCGCAAGCAATTCAACAGCCACGTACCACTATACTCCTCCATCTGCCCACCATCCAACCCTACATCTTTCGATGTGCTAGCCGCGTCTCCAATCGTCATGATATGGCTTGTTGGGGACTCGTAAACAGACGTCACAGCAATTGTAGAGTATAGTCTTCTGATAACTGGCGGGCGAGAACTTGAATTGTGATCTGCAATCGCTCTTGATAAGAGAATCTGAGAAGACGTCGTGTCGACAGCCCCCGGGTGGGCGGCTCTGTTCTCGATGATAGTCGAATGGTAGGAAATAATTGGCATCACTGTTCGATTTTGATTTTTGTACTTTTTAAGGACTCTCACTAACGAATGTTGAAGAAATAAAAATGATCTTTTAGGTATGGAGACTCTTGTGACATTGCACTAGATTGCAATGGAGAGGTAAAGGATAATTATTGAAAATGCATGATGTGCATCGGAAGAATGAGAATAGATAGTGAGTTCTGAACAGACAAAGCCTAACAGAAAAGGAGCAATTTGTTCAGGAAAGAGCATTGGGTATATTCCGAAAACAATGCCAAATTATATAAGGAAGGCCCCATTCTGTCTCCTTAATAGAAATACCAAAAACTCCCTTCATTACATCAATATGAGGTTTATCGTAAAAAAGAAAAGGGCTCAAGCTAATAAAGGACATTCTATCATATATACAACTTCATCACACATTTGTATCACTAGCTTCTCGCCAAATGTGAGTATCCCCTAGACTTATAGAGCTTGCGGCAGATTCCTCACGATCTAATTGTAGGGTGCTTTCGTTTGGCTCGGAATCTGGGTCCTTATTGATCCAAATCTTTTCTAGCCTATGTATTGTTAGTATGGAAGGTAGTTCTACTGTGAGGTTACTTACGGTACAGTGAGACTTGGATTGATGTATCTTGTGCCTCTTTCCCTGACTTCGTCGACAGTAGTGCCTCTTTGAATATGTCCTGGAGGTCTATTGATGCCGATGTCTTCGCCAGCGATGTTGATGTCTGGATTACTATCTCTTCTGATACTTCTAAGAGCGATAAATTTCATGAGTGGTTGGAATGTTCGTCTGAAGTAATAACTGTACCAAATCGTGAATGGTATCAAAGGGACAACAAGTATAGCCGGAGTGAAGGCTTTTCTTAGCGCAATTACTCCAGCCATAGTAAGCTGAAAGAAGCCCAAGCCTACAAGAAGACGATATACAATCATAGGCCAAGCACCTCCAGTAGCATGCTGTGGATGATCCATAGCATACAAAAGCTGGTATTTGTAGGTGTAATAGCCCAAAGCAAAATATGTCATCCCAAATAAGAGGACGAGGTATCCTGCTGGTTGTATGCTATAGACAATACATAGAATGTAGACGAGAAGTGCTGAAGGAAGATAAAATCCGTAACTAAAAATCGGCGGTTGTACTAGCTCGGCATAGTCTCTAGGAGTCTTGGCACCCATTAATGTGATAGGATACAGGGAAACACTTCCAAATTCCAACAACCTGAAAGGTAAAAGTCCGAGGGCCTGTAGGAGGATGAAATTCGTGTAAAACATGGAGAGATCGGAAATCGATTGGGCTAGAGTATATGCAATCTTCGTGGTATCCTTCAATGTCTCCTGTAAGACTGGCCAGAATTTGCTCGCCGCGCCAAAGACCGTAAAAACCAGGAATACGTTGAAGAATGTGAAATAAAAGTTTTTCGATATGACGGAAAGCTCTACGTCGCCTTGAGAGATTGATCCTTGCATATTCGCAAGGTAGTCATACAAGAATGGAATTGCCAAATTGAGTAATGAGACAATAAGCGTAGGCAACCCAGTCTGAACCAAAGCCTTAAGGATATCGTGACTTTCCAATACATCTGCTAGCCCAGGCCAAACTTGTCGAATTGAACAAAGACTAACGAGACCTGCCAGAGCAGCCACTGGAATGAGCCAAAAGATGGTGAGTATGAGAATGAAGAGAGTGATCGCCCATGAACGAATCATGCGATTTGATCGAGGCAGATACGTATTTGTCCAAACAATATCGGATGGTGCCGGAGCTGGTCGTGCCATCAACTGCATCGGGGTCGGATCGAGTAAAGCTTGCACAGCCATCTGGCAAGCAGGGATTGAGTCCATAGTGACAAATGCAAGCGCCGTAGGTTCGTACTCCTTCTTTCTTGCATCTGTGATCATTTCATCTAGCTGTCGTAGCTGTTCTTCGTAGTGGTCGATCGCGTCTACTTTCCTACTTTGGAAATTGAGAAAACCGTACCAGATCCGTGTGGTCGGTCTTGGTTTGTCATACGAGGTGAAGTGGTTGGTCCCTAGTAAATTATCACCCTCATTATCTTGCGACTCATCCTCTGCATCATCACCCGGTGTTGACTGCTGTGCCCGTATTGGCCATATACTTGAACGTTCTTGCTGGCCTAGGTGTACCGTCCATGCCTCTTCCAGCCGCCTAACAACCTGCACTCTCTTGTCCATCATATCATCGAGTTTTCTCCAATTGCGACATAAAGTCACACTCTCCACCTTTCCTATTTCGAGTTTCTCCAAGAATTCGGTGATCTTTTCTTCCGACCTTAGCTCCTTTGGAATTCCAGACAGTTTTATTGTTCGATCGGTAATTGTGGATTGGCTTCCAAGGTAGTCCTGGCGGATCTTTATTACGCGGTGGGTTTGCTTGTTCATAAAATATATTGCAAGTCCGGTAAAGACATAAGTAAACACTAGGTATGACCAAAGATAGCTGGTCTCAGGTAGTACGTCGTCGGAGTCTTTTGACTCCTCCAAAGTTAAGGCATCATTCCATCCACCATGCCAACCCTCTAACCGCGAGTAATCAGGAATATCCGGAGGGCTCGTCGAATTTCCGAACGGGTCGAATACGTAATAAAAGTGTTGGTTGATTGGGGCAAGAATAGCAACTGCCATGATGAACATGATCCCGAATAGTTTCATCGACATCTTGAAAAAGGATAGGAACTGGATGAGATTAGTCTTGTGCATTTATCCGGAAGCGGCAGATTCCTAAGACATACGACATATGCATCCAATCCAGCAGATGCGAGGACTTGTTCTTCTGTAACTCTATACAAAACAGGCATCCAACCAAAGAAGGTATCCGGCAGCTCTGGCAGACTTGCGGCGGCATCGACATGCCTTTTGCGGGCGGCATATAAACTTTTCCACTTTGGTCGCAGGACCTGCAAACATTAGCAAAGGTTTTTTTAACCCTACTCTCTTCATGACTTACACAGAATCCAAAGAATGCAGAAACTCCGAGAGTTAGTGAAAGGACGAGTTGAACATATATCGCAGTCTGTTGTCCTTCAATATGTGTGGGATCATATGCTTTGCAATCCTTTTCGGGAGCCGTTGAGGCGTCCATAATGGAAGCCATGATGAGTTTTGGCAGACTTTCGAATTAGTTGAAGGAAAACATCAGCAACAAAGTGAACAAACAAATGCGAGTAGACAATTAAGATCCATCTTTTTTACAGGCGGTGATGGATTGCCAAGCTATGACGAGTTGGATTCACAAGCTTGTTAACCTTATTATGTAAGCAGGGTTGGACTTTAGCCAGGAACGGGGGTTTCAACCATGTTGGTGCATAAATGATCAAGCACCCCACATCATTATCAGATAGGGAGTACTCTTCGCTATAAAGATGCCTCCAAACCCTCTTGACAAAAATTGATTGGTCTTCTGGGGATATGGTTGAGTCTAGCTTGTTCTACGATATTCGCGGGCCGTACCAATGAGTGGGTTAATGTTTGATAAGGTTATCACTTCAATCTAATCGACTCGCTGTTCTGTTTCTCCCGGTTCCTCATCTAGAGTGAAGGGGGAAAGCCTTTACAGCAGTACTAGTGGCAAGCAGACTTCATGTATTTCTGTCTCATGTATCATGTTTCTTTTCATAGATACTAATAAACCAGTGATCTCGAGAGGATTTCGATACCTCGAAGTAGCGGACCAGCAGCTCTCGCCAGCATAACTCTGAACTGCTCTCCGATCCTTGATATCAACCAGCATTACTTCTTTCTAGCCCTTTCTCTTATAGACGGTTATTAGAGAGAGGTGCTCCATTTGCGTACGGTCTTTTAAAATATACCTGGGCTTATGTAAGCAGATATTGTTCAGATCAGTCAGACTTGATCGAGATGATATTCAGTCATTGGCTTTTAGATGATTTCATATACTCAGACTATGTTATCTCATACTTTTCAAAGTATCCAGTCTGTACCTGAGTACCTAGCCCTATTCAAATGTTTCAAACTCTAGGTGAACATTGAACTGTTTTGTTCTCATCTACCCAGGCAGTATAGTCAGGATAAACCTCATGATGTTCAAGCCAACTGTAAAAGTCACTTGCTAAGTAGATATTTTGACGGGAGAGTTCAACAAAGCCTCAAGAAAACAGAAATCAATTGGTTCCAATAATAGGCCCAAGGATATCAAATACTACTATGTAGGTGGTCTCACTAAAAATCAACCAGTCAGGTGTTACTTTACTTAAGCAATACCTGGTATTCCCCGTCGGCTACCTACCTTTTCCTCCCTCCAGCGTGATCTTTTATCATGTGCATTTTATTTTTCACCTTCACTTCCTCATCTATGTTTTCAGGCAACCACCCTCATTTTCATACATTTCATAACCCGCACTCTTCCTCATCTCTGACTCCACTGTATTGATACTTCTCACATCAACATCGATTCTCACTTATATTGTCACTATACCTCCGATCTGATCAAAGTCACTTGAGACAATACGTAAAGTCACAATGGAGAATCTTGATCCCAACCAGCCAATTTCCGAAAAGCCTACGGTCATTTTCGAGGCAAGACTCCGACCATTCATTGAGGATGAATTGAATTCCAATCACTTGAAACTTGTATGGAAAAGGAACATCACAATTTCGTCTTCAAAATCTAACGGACACTTGATACATTAGGCCCACGCTCAACTCTCCAACCTCATACAAGAGCTAGAAGTTGAGAATGTCATCTGCAACATTGATAATGACATGTTGCCTCTCCTCGCACGTAAGTCTTCCTACATGATACGCTCTTCATTGTTAGAATAAACTCTTATCTCTCGTCTGCAGAATTGAGTGATGCCTGGAAGTTATGGGCTAGTCAAGAGATAGAATCTCTAGTACCAGTCGAAATTATTGCCATTGAGAATCAAGAAAAACCAAGCCATCTTAGACTTCGAGATGTACTGAGCCGTTTTTGTGTCTATAGGATGCATGGTGTTCCACCACCACCACCGCGTTTATTTGAAGGCTCCGATAGCACGACGTCAATTGAGGCATATGATGATCCAGAGATACCATCAGCTGAGGTTTTTGATATGCCTCATCACGACTTTGATGGTAAATGGGAGGAGTGAGTTTGAAATAATGTACATCGAATTCTCCTGTCGACTAATATTGCACAGGCTTATATTTGATCAAAACCACAAGGAAGATCTTTCGTGGATGATATCGAACATACGTGCGTACAATTTTCTGGAATTACAGCTTGATGAATATAGATTGACGTCAAATAGTTACCTTTTCCGCGGATACAGGACATGCAAAGAAGAGAATGAATCCCATGGCTTTGTTTCATGGTAGGTCAACAGTCTACCGCACTCACAATGATTAGAATCAAGTCTAATGTTTATGGGGCTACCAATAACCATCATTTGCATTTGTGCAATGATGGCTATATGGTGCCTCATCAATTCTAGGTCCTCCAGGAACCGGCAAAACAACGATCTGCCAAGCAATTGCACAAAGATTGGCCATTCGTTTGGTCGAAACATTTCCACACACGAAACTCATCCAAGTCAAAACAGCGACCCTTCTATCCAAATACTTTAGCGAAAGTGCAACACAAGTCGATGATTTACTTAACAAGGTCAAGATTATGTGCCAAAACAACCCAAGTCGTATTATCATAGTACTAATTGATGAGGTTGAATCTATTGCTGTATCTAGACATTCTGGTGTCATGCATGGAGAAGCCCAAGATTCACTACGCGCTACGAATTCTCTACTCACCGGACTCGATACGGTCATGACATGTCCAAATGTTGTTTTCATGTCTACATCAAACATGATCGATTGTCTCGATGAAGCATTTGTCGATCGATGCGCCATTCGAATACCATTTCAACCACCATCTGAAGAATCCCAATACAAGATCTTAAAAGCCAGTGTATTAGAGCTCATCAGAAGAGAGATCATCATCGCCGATCTATCGAATCTTCTCGATTCCACGCAATTGATACAATCCTGGCAAGAAGCTACACTTTATACAGCCTTCCAGAATGATTCTGCCACCGGCAAGTTACTCAATATCATCATGCAATTAAATTCTCCCACCGCAAAGAATAAACTCGGTATATCCGGTCGATTCTTAACACAGATACCCGAACAGGCTTTAATGAAATGCGCTCGACCGAATAAGTCATTGACATTAGATGTTGCATTGGATTGCATTGAGAAATTTGTCCAAGATTTATTGACTGCGAGAGGAGGTCAGAAACGAAAACTTTCGGAAGTAGAAGCTGAAGTACAACCTGGTGCAAAACATTACTGTTACTGCGCTGCGGAAAAGGATGAGTAGTTTCGTAATAACGGGATGCACTTAGGGTTCGGATGCATAAAAAACACTAATCTTGTTGCTTTGCAAAATAAGAGAGAAGAATGGCTAATCTCAAAACAATAGCATTGATTTCAAGGGGCTAATTCGAAGGGCAATTTAATCAGACTAGCGACGTAGGATCTTATATGAACTGAGAAGGACCATTTGCATTTGCAATTTCGTTGTATTATAGTATACATAGCTGGATCGTAAGATCTCATCACATTGCACATTCATAATATCATAATATCATAAATATAATAATTTGTACTAGCTATAAACACTTCAGCTTCCCGTCTAATATCCTGCTCGCTGGACTAGGAATTGAAAGACCTAGTAATCATAACCACTCTATTATCTGCGTCAAATCCTCATTTATTACTAGGTAGTTACGAATGTATAGTAATTCATTCGTGAATACATCAATCAGTCGACGAGGGAGGGAAGAAGGGGAAGTGAATATAACGGAAAACTTTGATAATGAAGTGAAGAAAAGCTAAAAAGGCAGGTAGTGTTGATAAAGATAGACTTGGGATGATTTTATATACATATGTTAAACGAATATAAATTTTATGTCTCAAAGAGGGAATGGAAATATATTTGAAGGGGAGGGAAGGGGAGAGAAGAGATATTTGGGGAAGGGGGGATATGGAGATAGGGGATGATGTTATGGAGTGTGTGTGAGCCTGGAATCTAGTTTGAATATTGATGTTACATTATCTACTTAGATATTTATGTATGTAGATGTAGGTATATACGTATATATGTATATATGTATCGATAGAGTGTTATTAGGTAGTATAACAAAGAACAGAGAAACTAAAATCCGCCGAAATCGCTATACGAAATGACTAGTAGAAGAGAACTACTATGGTAACCTCCCCGTCATCATCATCATCATCATTTATTCCAAAGAAATACACACCTAACCTTTAGTAAGTACTACGTATATAAGGTTATACAAAATTAAATCCACTAGAAGCAGTCACCCACCCATAAGACGTTTAATACCTACCTAATTTATGTCAGAAGATTGCTAGCTCATCTGTGAATTGGTCTCATCATCATCATCGTCTAAACTATCTTCTAATTATCGTTCTAATCACACTCGAAATCGAAATAGAGCTGATGATTACACTACCACGGGCAAAGTAAAGTAAAGTAAAACTATAATCACAACATTAAGAAATCTCAACACAAAACAATAACCATATGAGCATAAGTAAGTAAGTAAAAACTCCGCTCTTCTTTCTCTTCCTTCCTCTTGGGTTCCTTCAAGACTATCTGAAGACTGAAGGGAACTAACTACTAATTAGGTAACCTATTAACACTGGCTAAATGGCAAATTACATAAATAAATCATTTCTTTAATACCTATTCAACCTCAATGATGATAGATGATGTGATTTCGATAATTTAAATTTTTCAGCCAAGTGAGTGAGATGTTAGGTTAATCTCTCAAATTGTAAGATTAGATTAGATTAGATGTATGTATGTGTCTAGTATCTCGTTGGAAGGTAGGTAGGTAGGTAGGTAGGTAGGTAGGTAGGTAGGTAGGTTACTTTTCACATCCTCAGATCCGAAGTTATCATCGAGATTCTGTGCTGTGGACTTCGTTATGTTGTGTAACGGACCTGACAGGACAGGACAGGTTCTCGACTGTGATGAATACGACGGTAAAACTTGAAAATAAGAAAAACTTCCATAAAACAAATGTTTGATATTTGATATGGCTAGTTTTCCGCGGGTTTGGAAATTTTACAATTTTACCATACCATGGACATTGTAATTTGATATTAGGCAGCAAAAATAGTTGTTTTTGATTTTCTTTTAAAAACAATAGGTAGGTAATTAGATACCGGTATAATGGATTGATTGATAAGAGGGAGAGATACTTTGCATATTTTGATAGATGGTGGGTGTTACATTGCTGTTTCCCGTTGCTGTATACGGTGTTAGGCTCAATATAGAAAGTACAATGATTATGGATTTATATAGTTAGGAATCGTAGCACCAATAATAAGATAACCCTCTTTACACCTATAAGAATAATACCTTCAATAGAGTAGAAGGGGTTCTATTCCTATGCTTTTGAATTTTGAAAGAGCAATGGCCTACAGGAGAGTTCAGATTACTAGGATCTTGACTCATCGTGTAACAGTAACGAATGAATCCTTGATATCGAGATTTGGGATGGATGGATGGATGGATGGTATCGAAGGAGATAGTTCGGATCAATTAGCAAAGAGGGGATTGGCGTCGATAGCGAACATCACAGCAGGCCGGTTCGTGCAGTAAATATCTGAAATATGATAGGTTTATGCCCAATGCTCATTAATGGATGGGTTAATGTGATGATGGATGGAGATGAGATGACCTTTTTTTTGATATGGATATTTACTCTTCCCCATATTCTATACTAGGTAATAGATATTGTAGATCATGCAACCAACGGATCTCATCACCGCCCCAATCAGGCAAAAGAATTTGTTCGGGAAAACCCGGTTTGGTGATTGGTGGCACCAAGTAGTATGTTGTAGTGACAGAGCGGGAATTAATCGTGTGATATTGGAGGGGGGGATTTATATTGAGCCATTTTTCGAATATTGGATATTCTATCCATTGTGTGGTTAACGTTAGAAACTGGAAGGAGCATACGAAGCACGCGTTTATGAGGACGTTGGTGAGTGGTTGATTTAAGTTGGTGTTCTCGTACTAGGAACGCAGAGGAAAGCAGAGACGGCTAGACTCTAAAGTTTAGAGTAGTTAGATGTTAGATGTTAGGGGTGTGGTGATCAAGCTGTGGCTGAAGACATCGATGCACATTCCATATGTTCTAGATTTTTAGGTGTTCGTTAAAGCGCCAAGTTTCCTATGATGTGCAACACTGCCTTGGAAGGAGGTTTGAAGTCAAGGATGTAAATACGCGTCTTGTGGAAGTTTGCAACAGAAAAGTAGATATCTAGGTATGATATTAGTATTAAAATCCTTATTTTCTTTCCCTCAAATCAATGTAGGAAAAGGTGCGACAGACGTGGTGCCAATAGGTAGCTCTACCGACTATATTGATGAGTGAATTATAAGTTCAGCATGTGAGATGGGCTGCAAGATGAAGGTCAACACGAGTCGGGAACAATATACAGAGAGCACAGTGGTTGGAAAGAGGAGTTAATTATTAAAGTTTGGTGGCTCAAAGGTCCTGAGCACATCCTCTTATCATATCATCCTAGGTGTGTAAAACGTGGTTGGATTGGCTAGAAGAATCAAAGGGTAAGGACTTGATATTTAGCAAAACTATCCGACTGGTTTAGCTATTGTAGGCTTGTAGCTAATGAGGCACATACTTCATCCAAGATATAGCCTATTCGTAATATCGAGGTGTTGGAAGTATGGTTCCATGTTACTAGTAAGTTGATGAAGGTCTGTATCGATGAAAAGTAAACAATGGCTCAAACATATATACTGCGTAAGTCTTACTTTCATTAGTATCACCAATGTATGGTCACTGGTAGGCAACCTTATGGTATCAACAATGAAAGACAAGGAAGACAATAGGGCAGGAATAATAAAAAAAGATGCAGCGGCATGTGGATTCACCTTGCATAAATCCATGTCATTTGTTGGAATTCCCATGTGCCTGACGTAAATTTTAATGGATGCAAATTGGCAATGGGAAAAAAAGCTCCGGCTATGAGATAATTGTTTCATGAGGGAAATCGCTAGAAAGTCCTAGTTGTATTATATATTGTGATCATAAGAAATAATATGTATGTATTTGTATTACCATTCAATAACGAATATTACGAAAAGATTCATCCATTTTCTCTTTCGTTTTTCCGAGTGCCTAACTTTTTGATGTAAGGGAAATAAATACTATCAATTTATCTACCTACCTAAATACCTACTTCAATTTTGATTTCAATCATCAAGCTACTACTACTACTACTGAAGATATACTTTCCTCTCCTCTCACTCCCCCTTTCACAATCCACAGACCTCATTCTTCTGCTTAACCTCTCTCAAAGCAAGCCACACATCCCGCATTTCCCCATCCTAAAATAAAACACATCTACCCACCTCGCAGGAGTTTTACGTTGTAAGTTGCTAAACAAAGCATCCTCTTCTGTTCTCCTACTGGTCCGGCAATACCCTTGTCCTCAAACTTACCCATTACCATCTCTTCAACACGTCTGGAGAGAAATATTTGACTAACAGGTCAGGTCAAACATTCAAATACAGCTCCACCCCTTCAACAAACCTTTACTTTGTCGACCACCCATATCACAACATCACAACATTTCTTGCGCTCTTCTATCTATTCTCATCTCACCAGGAAAATTTATTACATCAAACATCGAATCCCGAAATTGACTACTATTCTGCCGAAACATATCAGCCCCACTATTTACTGCCCCTCATTCGAACTTGCTCTCAGACGCAGCCAGAAGCTCTTAAGCTACAAGACACAGAAAGCACATAGCTCATGGTTGTGCAATTATCAGTTTTCAAAATATTTTATACTGAATTTCATTCCGCCGCTCCATTTTTGAAAGTTTTCTCTGAACATTCATCATGACAGTCTTTGTGGTCTCTCTGTGAGTTTTTTCTTCTTTTCCTTCTCTTAAATATTTGGTTGCTGGGCAGGCTTTTGTTATGTTATTTCTTTCGAGCATCGCATCATAGCTACAGCCAAACACTGCTTGGTAGCTTCAAGCATATCTTCAGATATCTGCAATTTTTACTGTTTAATCTAGCAGGCGTAGGAATTAGAGACTTCCTTTCTGCTGCGGGATTTCACAATGACAAAAAGCTGATGTATCTGCTTTCCTCATAGCTTTCTCCCAAACACAATCAACTTCAAACTTCCTTCAACGAATTCTCGTCCTCCGACCAGAGGATCCAATATCCACCCAGATCCCAAGTCCAATGCTTTCCGCTCGGGGCGTCCCGGTGCCGCTAGAAGAACTACCACCAAAATCGATACTACCGGCAAGCCTAGTCTTTTCGGTCATCAGAAGGATATCACACCCCCAGCAACACCAATACACGATGTCGATCACGAACAATTTTTTGCTCAAACCGATATACCAGACCTAAAAACCATACAAGAGAACCAGCTCTCTGTAATCGCGCCCAGCGATCCTCATTCGCCGGCATGGGGTGCGGGAAAGACGTTCAACCAACCACGATCTCGGGCTAGTTCTCCCCCTCCCGCAGATATCCTCAAGCACAACAAGATGAAGGAGAAGGCAGAAGTTCTTGGAAGCGCTGGAATTCGCCAACCACAATACAAACGAAGTGATAGTCATGATAGAGTTTTCGCAAATGCCGAATGGGAAGTTGAACCAGCCGAGCAAGGTAACGGAGGTCTAAGAAATGCCGTTCAAGCTGCAGTTAGAAGTGGAAATCTTGAAGATAAGATTTGGGTTGGTACACTAGGGATGCCCACGGATGCTCTCGAACGTCGACAAAAGCAGGATATTGACGATCGCATGGCTACAGAGCACGATTCCGCAACTGTTTTTTGTAAAGACGGCGATTTTGATGGTCATTACACACACTACTGCAAGCAAATCTTGTGGCCAGTCTTCCATTACCAAATACCGGATAACCCTAAAAGCAAGGCTTACGAAGATCACTCTTGGATTTACTATGTTAAAGTAAATCAGGCTTTTGCGGATAAAATCGTCAAGGAATGGAAGAGAGGTGATGTGATTTGGATCCATGACTACCATCTCCTATTGGTACCTTCAATGATCCGGAAGAAGCTTCCTGATGCCAAAATTGGATTCTTCCTTCATGTTGCATTTCCATCCTCGGAAGTTTTCCGATGTCTAGCCGTTCGTAAGGAATTACTCGAGGGTATGTTGGGAGCAAATCTCATTGGATTCCAAATTCAAGAGTATGCACGACATTTCTTGCAAACCTGCAGTCGTATTTTAATGGTTGAAGCCACAAATGATGGTATTCAACTTGAGGATCGATTCATCGATGTTATCAATCTCGCAATTGGAATTGATCCTGTTGCTCTGGATATGAATCGTGCAGATCCTAAAGCTACTCATTGGTTGAACACAATGCAAGAAAGATATCGTGGTAAGAAGCTCATTGTGGCACGAGACAAGTTAGATCATGTCCGAGGTGTGCGACCTAAGCTTTTGGTAAGTTTTCAATTTATTGTATTCTGGACTTCTAAAGACTTCAAAAAACAACTATTGTGATGAAGCCCTAATTGACAAGTACTAATCTTTTTTTTCCTATAGGCGTATGAGCTATTTCTCAATAAATATCCTGAATGGAGAGATAAAGTTGTTCTTATTCAAGTAGCAACATCTACCACAGAAAATTCCGAACTTGATGCCACCGTTTCAGATATTGTTACTAGAATTAACTCTTCATGGGCCAATCTTGCTTACCAACCAGTCGTCTACCTCAAGCAAGATATCATCTACCCTCAATATTTGGCTCTACTCACAGTCGCTGATGCTCTAATGATCGCTAGTCAGCGCGAAGGAATGAATTTAACATGTCATGAATACTTGTTTTGTCAAGATGGCAAGTTCGAAGGTCACAACAAGCATGGATCTCTTATTCTCAGTGAATTTACTGGTAGTTCTTCCATCTTTGGTGGCAATGAACTTTCTGTAAATCCTTGGGATTATCGTCAATGCGCTGATGCTATTAAACAAGCATTGGAAATGGAGGACGAAGAAAAAGAAGAACGATTCAAGAAACTTCATGCAGCTGTCATGCACCATACTGGAGAGCATTGGTTTAATGAATTTATTAATCGTCTTGACAAGGCCTATGAAGAACAGCACAAGAGAGATACCACAGCTGTTCCACGTCTCTCAATTAATATGCTTGGTCAAAAGTATCAGAGATCCGAGCGAAGACTCTTCATCATTGATTATGAAGGGACTTTGGCATCATGGGGATCCCCAAGCAGTATCATTTTAACAAGCCCGCAAGTAAGTAGTACTATAATCCTCGATTCTGAGGGAAGGCTAACGATGTATAGCGCACAATCGATACTCTTAATGATCTACTTCAAGATGAAAGAAATACAGTATATGTAATGTCTAGTAGACAACCAGAAGAACTCGATCGTTTATTCAAAAGAGTACCACGCCTTGGTCTAATTGCCGAAAATGGATGTTTCCTCAAACAATTTGGTACTTCAGATTGGATTGAAATGGCTGATCCTGAGAAGATGCGAGCATGGAAAGATTCGGTAGAAGGCATCATGGCATATTATACCGAACGAACACCAGGATCATGGATTGAGACAAGACATTGTAGCTTGATCTTCCATTACAAGAACGCAGAAGATTTCGAAACGGCAACTCGACAAGCCGGTGATTGTGCAAGTCACATTAATGATGCATGTGAGGAACAGAGAGTTAGGGCAATTCCTGTTGAAGGTATGTATTCATGGGTTGGTACGTTACAAGAAAACTTACTAACATCATTTATAGGAGCTGTAGCAGTTGAACCGATTGATTGGTCAAAGGGCACAGCTGCCATGAAAATCTTCGAAGGCCTTGCGAAAGAAATGTCACCAGATGATAAACATACTTCTCCTGTTGATTTCTTACTAGTGATAGGTGATGGTAGAGATGATGAAGTTATCTTTCGATGGGCCAATGATTTAGGGAGAGAAAAGAAGGTTAACAGTGTTACAACTGTTAGTTTGGGCAGTAGAAATACTGAAGCTGGGTTTACACTTACACAAGGAGTTACTGGTATGTATCCTCAATAATGTTGCCGGAAGTAATTACTAACATCCATCTAGGTGTCTTGACAGCTTTACAAAAGCTCGCCCAGTTATCTTAGAATGTTTTTTTTTAATTATTATTATTATTATTATAATTATTATTATTTATATTTCTACAAATGAGAGCCGAAGAGGCAATGGTTATTTTATTTGGAAAGGATACATACTTTGAGATGATGATCTAGATTTTTTTTTATGAAATGGTTAATCATAAGGTGACTGGCATAGCGAGGGCGTATTGTTTTTTGTGGTTGTTTGTTAGGCAGATTTTTCTTTTTGGATGGAACGGAAGGAAGGAAGGAATTAGAATGAAGTATACGTTGGGATTTTATTTATTAGGAAATATATGATATGATATGATATGATACGATACGATATGATACTTAATCTAGTTTTTAAATATCCTGATTGTGAAATTGATGTTTCATTCTATGGAACTTTTTTTTTTTTTTCACTTGTGGGATTGGGGTTGATTGTCGGGTTAGATGAATGGATGAGGGAGTGAGGGAGTGGATTATTTATTTCGTTTTATTTTGTTTTATTTTACTTTTGTGTTGTTTGAATTGGATTGGATTAGATTGTTTGGGGTTGTGTTGGAATTTGTTTATTTTATTCATGTGAAAAGAGGAGGGGGGGAGGAGGAGGAGGAGGATAGAAAGCAGATAGAGAAGTATAAATGGTTATAGTTGTAGTTATAATTATAATTATACTTACAATAGGAAAGGTAATGAATAGAGAGATGAAGAGCTTGACAGATAGAGAGAAAGGGGAACAATTTAATAATTTATAATATATAATATACAATCAGCTTATTAAAGAGAATATAAAATTTAGACTTCTTACTTAGTTCTATTATTAGGTTTTGTAATCTTAGTTTGCTGGTTTTGAAATATAATTACCTAGGTAGAGATAAATAAAAGATCATGTGTAAAGATAATATAAGCGGAAATTGTTTGAGTGGATCAAGATCTAGGATCGATGATATATTATGATTTAAAAGAGACGAGCTATTTCTGTTAGTAACTCTCGGCTAGAATGTATATATGAAGTGAAGGAACTGAAAAGGGGGGCTTTTATATTTTAGCGTTTGAGTTTGATCAATAATTTAATTCCATTTAGAAAAACTAGTACAAAATGCTAATATCAAATCATTTAACGCCGTGACCATTCTTTTTTGACTATTTTAGAATTGAGATTATACAAGATTCCTGTAACCTTATCAAGGCAATTTATCAATATTTCCACTCAAACCATTTGTACCATTTGTTTCGCCACTGGTAAAATCTTTAACATCCAATTTCTCGACCGTCTTGTTCCAGCCAAAAGTATCCTTAATTTTTCCGGATTGAATTCCCTTGAGGGTGGTGAGAAGTTTTTGACAGATAGCGCCTGGGTCTTCGGAGGATGAGGGGATATATTCTGTGGTTTTGGAGTCGGAGTTACGAGTTATGGAACGGATTGGGACGAGGGCGGCGGCGGTTCCGGCAGCCATTACTTCGGTGAAGTTGGGCAGTTCTTCGTATTTAATCTGTAGAAGGTTAGTATGAGTGTGATGGAAATTGGAAGTTGGAGTGGTTGGAAGTGGAAGTGGTGCAAGATGGGAAAAGTAATGGGGTATAGTTGAGAAGGAGAGTAAAACGGCGAATAGGCCCCAAGGAAAAAAGGAAGAGAAAAGGAAATAACTAACCGAGCGAACTTCTGTTTTCCATCCAAGACTCTTTCCAATTTCCAAAATACTATCAGATGTTACACTGGCAATAACGTTCTTGCTATCCGGTACAACCAATGTAATATTATCTCCATCCTTCTTCGCACCAATAAATCCACTGGTAGAAAATTCGTCGATTTCACTGCGTGTTTGACTATCCAAATGTAATGTAATACCATATCCTTCATTCCTTGCTTTATCACTCCATCTCAGTACGGGTGCATAATTTCCACCCACTTTCGCACTTCCAGTTCCATGTGGTGCAGAGCGATCGAATTCTTCAAGAATCAAACACTTAACTGGGTGTACACCATGGTAGACACCAACTGGGAGGACGTAAACGCAGAAGGTATATTCCTCTGGGGGATTCAATCCTAACTGAGCACTGGATCCAAAAATCAAAGGACGGATATACATAGCAGCGCCTGTTTCATGAGGCGGTACGTATTCCGCATTTAGAGATACTGCGGCATGTACACAGTCCATGAAAACATTCTCAGGAACAGGAGGAATAGAAATGAATTCGGCGGAGTGGGCGAGACGAGCAGCGTTTTTGTTAGGGCGGAATATGGTTATGGAGGAGTCACCAGGACTGCGAAAGGCTTTCATACCTTCGTATGCTTGTTGGCCGTAGTTTAAGGCGGGAGACATGCCATGGAGACGGAGGTAAGGGTCGGTGATGAATTTTGGAGGTGTCCATTTGCCGGTTTTTACTGAGTAATGAGACTCGATGTGGCCATTTACTGGAGCGGTGTGTTAGTATTTCTTGAAAGACTTAAGTTGAAGCATTGGATTTAGTCATTGACAGATGAGGTTGAATTCTCAGTACCTTCACGGAATTTGAAGCCAATGTCGCTCCAGTCGATAGTGTTAACGGGAGGTGGTGGGAAAGCCATATTGAAGAGATGAAAGTTTTGTGATGAAGAATTGCTCGAAAAGTCAAGAGGTTTGAATGTTAAAGTAGCACACCGACTTTCGAAGATGTATAGAATTCAAAATTGTAGGATCCAAGATTGTTAATAAATCTTTCAACTTTCTCCTCGGGAAAGGTTATTTATTTATTACCCATTCATACAGTCATCAGTCATCAAAGAGCCAAGCTCAAAAATATTTTATGTTTCCGAGCTCGGAGAACGCGGGGTGATGGAAGGGATGAATGATGCTCCGAGAGGAATGTGCCTGACCCAACTAAATGGGTGGAGTGGGGAAAAGTAGACGTTGTTCCGAATCCCTTTTTAACCAATCAGAAGATGATTCTGGATGAATATGAAACGATCAAGTCGAACGAATAAGGGTCTTGGATTTAATTTATTTGAGGGATCAAGTTCTAAAACGGGAATACAGTACTGGTATACTAATCATGCTATGAATGAAGTTGGAATGATTTTATCGAATGTTCGGATCCCTTTCCTTTTATTCTCTCACCCGCTTTCTTAACTAAACAACTAATCAATTAACATTCATTAACTTTCAATTGCTGCTTCTCTATTATTCTTTGTCGCGGATGTATTGAACAATCTTACCAATATTTGACTTGACATTCGGAGCCGAGCTACATTGTAAAATCGGCCTTCCTTCATCTGCACAGTCAGCCAACCATATCATAATCATCAATACCAGATCACATACTTGTCTGAACACAAAACAGCATGGCTCGGAAACCTCATTTTACCCTTGCGGGAATAGCTGTAGCGGCTTTCCTATGCATATTCTTTGTACTCACATTTCGCAATCAAAATCATGGAACAAGAGCTTTAGATTATGGCACAGAGAGTGATTATAATACCGAATTTCCCTTGGATAAAACACCAATCCTTGTCGATAATAATGTTCTCCATGGAGCCGCCACTGCTCCTAAGTTGGAGAATGCTACTTTGAAGTATGTCCGCCGGCTTTGCAAAGTGTCATTGAAATTACTTAGTTGTACTTGCTAACGATCCTCGCCCTTTAAGAGCAGAACTCGGCCACGCAGCCTGGAAAGTCTTACACACGATGATGGCGAAATTCCCCGATAAGCCTACAGAAGAAGATAGCTCGGCTCTAAAATCTTACATTCATCTCTTTGCTCGCCTCTATCCATGTGGCGATTGCGCTCGCCATTTCCAAGGGCTGTTAAAGAAATATCCGCCGCAGGTTGCTACGAGGAGTACGGCCGCGGCATGGGCTTGCCATGTCCACAATGAGGTTAATAAGAGGTTGAAGAAGGAAATATTTGATTGTAGTAAGATTGGGGACTTTTATGATTGTGGATGTGCGGAAGATGGGGAGCCGGGGAAGGCTGGAGTGGGAAAGACGGAGGTTAAGAAGGGAGAAGGAGAAGGATTTACTCCGTTGGAGTTAGATAAGGAAGGGTAGGTTTTCACTGGGCTTGAGGATACTATTGAGGATATGAAGCTAATGCATGGCTGTAGTTTGACTCGAGGGGGTTAGAACATGTCATTGAACGCAAATTCATAGAAGGAGTTGGGTCCGGTCCAGAGCAAACTTATCTGGATGTAGTGCGGAATATGGAAGTGCAGGAGCTCGCCGCTGGTTCAATTGTGTGCTATCCGGGCCATGTAAGATTGAGAATCGAGGGCAGCTAAACTATCAAAGCAAGCATGGCGTTAAGTAGAGTTTTGAGTATTGGGCATTATTATAAATTGGAATAGGCAGGGAAATTCCAATGGAAGTTGTCAGGGTATCCATTTGTATAAATTGTAAATAGCAAATAGTTCGTATATATTTATCTGCCTTTAAACATTATGAGCTACGAAGCTTTATGTATACTAGGGGTTTACTAGCTCCCTTCTAAAGGCATGTCTAACAGCTCACCGGGAAGGGCGGCGACTTAAGGTACGGGAATAGCCGCCAAGCTCAAATCATTATCACCACGTGATCTGGCATCACC